TTATGCCATACCGTGGCGTACGTCGTCCATCCATCAACAATCTCTTTAAGCGACTTCTTCTTAACCACTGATTGGAATTTAACAAATTTTGACTGGAAGCATCCCTAGGTGGATTCAAAATTGTACATATGGTGGGGCTGACCCCTCAGGGGGCTGAGGGGCGAGGCCAAAAAGGGGGCAATTTGGCTATATTGCTTTAAGCGACTTCTTCTCTGGAACTAAGAGATGGATATCAACCATATTTGACTGGAAGCATCCCTAGGTGGTGGAGATTCAAAATTTAACAAATGGTGGGGCTGAGCCTCCAGGGGGCTGAGGGGCGGGAGCCAAAAGGGGTCAATTTGGCTATATATTGCTACAAACGACTTCCTCTGTAGAACTATGCACTGGATATCGATCAAATTTAATCAAAAGCATTCATGGGAGGCAGGGATTCAAAATTGTACAAATGGTGTTGCTGACCCCCCAGGGGGCTGAGAGGGTTATTTGGCTATATTGCTTTAAGCGACTTCTTCTCTGGAACTTAGAGATGGATATCAACCATAATTGCCCCGAAGCATCCCTAGGTGGTGGGGATTCAAAATAATAGAATTGATCCTTGGGTCTGGCCACAACCCTAGCCCTAGGGACCTAGTTTCTGAGTCACAGCTTGGAAACAGTTGAGATCCCCACCCCATAACCATACATAAAATTGCTGGGCATGAAAAATCTAATACAGATATGCTACAAGCATTAATTGGCCTTGGGGTCTGGCATATTCCCTTGGATCTCATTTGGAGAATATTTTGCGATGATAGCTTAGATATCCAGGTGAGCTATGCAGGCCCTCTGGGCCTCTTGTTTATATCCTAAATTAAAAAATATTGGATTTGGATCAACATAAATAACACCATTGCCATAAATTCAATGTTTTTTGCTGTTCTGGCTATTGTTGCACAATATCATTTGAAGAAATTGTTGACTTTACGCACAACTAATGGATGATTTTGAAACAGAAACCTCTTCATAATCCATTATGATGTCATCAGTTTGAGGTTCTTGGGTTATTCAAATGATTTGTACAGTAAGTATAGCCCCTAGGGCGAAGGATTCTATTGGAAGTATACACCATATACAACAAATGAGATCAAAATGCCAATTTTATTTGAATGTGTTAATAGCTAAACCAATCTCTGAAATCACCCATTCATTCTCATTTTGCAAGACATCTTCCTGTGATACTTCAGATAGTTTTTGGAAATATCTGTTGTGAAACTGGGTCAAATTTATCTTAAATTGACAAGTTATCAACACAAAGGGATAATTTCGCTTGTTGATTAGATTATGAATGAAGATGTTAATTTTAAAGGTGATGACTGATAATAACGAGGCTTTATTATGAAATTACTGTTTGTGTTTCTTCAAAGTATTACATGTAATGGCACCCAAATGTAAAAAAAACCACCTAGGGCAACAGTGGTTTAAAAACATTGTAAAAAACAGCGGCAGCATTAAGGACATGGCAAATTGTGTATGTTTTTCCTTGTCATTGTTGATGTGTTTGATTAGTGATCCGCCAGTACCGTGTAGGCTGAGTGATGCCAGCGTCACAGGAATAGCTGAAGAACAAGATGTTCGGTGTAATTTAATGGAATTTTAATCACAGAAGGTGTCAATGATTTAATTGAAGGCTGGGTTTTGTTGTCAGGGCAAAGTAAGCCTCGGAATGTGAGGCTGTATAATCAGGGTTTAACCGATTTGATTACAAACTCACGCAAACTTTACTGTTGCAAACTGATGTATGTATATAAGGTATATATAGAGATTACCATACGTATACTCTTTCAAACCTCACGTTACACATTAATTTAGTCAATATGGATATTTATACAGAATTTTGATCTCGCTAGATAGTTTGACCACATGTTACAGCATGATGTCACCTCTATATATAGTACAGTGAAACGGTTATGCATAGCGACTCACAAAATGTCTTATTTTAATACACTCCACCACATTTAAAGTTTACACTGATAACAAATCTATTGGTCATGTGATCAAGTGTATATTTTAGAGCTAAAATATATTGATCAGGAATTATTTTGCATAATAAGTTACAACAATATTTTGAGTATTAAATCCTGCATGTAAACTTTGAAACATTCAACAAGCCAGATCAGTATATTTAGATTATAGTTATCTGACCTCGACATATCTTCACGCATCCCCAGAATACACACATCCAGATTAATTATTGTTTGCATAAAATACCCCACTCCACCCCTAAATTATTCATCCCCTGCAACTTGTACCAAAATAGTTTGCATAAATAAAAATGTATAGTATTATTTCCTCCTGGACACTTGTCTTTGGTGACCAAGTATCATGCTCAAGTTCCTGATCTATGGGCAGTTTATATTATCTAAATAGAAGATTTATCTGTAATAGTTAATTTATAGATCATTTACCTGTAGTAAGTTATAGATGATTTACCTGTAATAAGTTACAGAAAATTTACCTGTAATAAGTTATAGATGATTTACATGTGATAAGTTATCGAAAATGTACCTGTAATAAGTTGATAAGTTCAGAAGGCATATAATAAAGCTGTTAAATCCTTAAAGAAGATGTCAAATAGATTTTTACCCTTTTTTACAGGAAAACTTGTTCTCTGATAGGACCATTTATATGTACTTTATATCAGTAGGGTTGGACTTACAGTATTATACCAAATAAACCTCCTGCTTGCTTTGAGCAATATATTGGAAAACATTGAAAGACTACAGATTATCTTCCTAAATTCTCTCTTCCAAATAAAATGTCGTAATACATCCTTCATGTCCAAGTACATCATGCAGTAAATAACAGCGAAGGGATGATGTATTCTGAGGATCAGTATTCTTCAGGGATCGATGGGGCCCTTATCAGGTCAATTAGGTTAACTGGTAGGAAAAGGTGGTGAGAGTAGTAAGCAAGTATCTGTAGCTTTTGATAGTTAAATTAAAGAGTCCTGTATTACAGCATATGAGACGTGGGATATAGGTCACTGGTCAGAGAAAACCTGGGACTTTCTTCACAAATACTACGGTCATTGTACAGAAGAACTCATTAAAATGTCTTATTTGATAAAACAAATATTTTGACCTTTTCATGACATTTGTAATAAAATGGTCCTGCATCTTTTGTGATTTAATGTATGTATACAGTATTTCCCTTTAGGGATAACCGTTAAATATTTGTCATGTTCAATATTTATCAATTAATGAATCTTAAAACATCCCATTCAAATTCATGCAGGAAGCCAGTATATGTTATCTAATAAAGGTTTTATTTTGACCTTTGCGTGGTTGACTTTGCTGTGATGGTGTGTAGTGTCCTAGATGATTTAATGCGGCCCTGTGGGAAATCTGATTATGTTTCATGTCGAATAATTCAGAAAAGATCTGCACATCAAGACCTTTCTGTTGAGTTCATCCAGTACAATGCTTCTGTATAATGTTGTTAGAAGATGATGCGTCCTACGTTAGTGCGTTTACGAGTCTCTGGGAAATCATCTATTTCCTGGAATTAACTTTCTATTTGGCATGCCTTACCTGTGATTCTACATACTTGTCAGAAAGTATGGCAACCAGGTTGAAGACATCAGCCATTGAGAATAAGAAACATGTAGTTCATAAATAAAATTGCTTTGCTAAGAAAACCCTGCTACATTGTAACAGTTATTACATGTGATTTGATTGGTTGTTTGCAGACCATCTGACTGACTAGTTTCAATCAGGGTTTTTCATGAATAAACACATTTGTTTTGAATGATTGTTCTCTGATCAAATCACCATTTTGAATTAAGATTTTATCATTCCGTTGGCTGCTTACAGACAAACCCTCTGTGGTGTAAATTGTTCTGTCATCAGCTAGTTAGTGTTGAAGGATTTGATTGGCTGTTAAATGATCACATGTCCAATGATGCGTGTGGGATACACAAATATTGATAAATGTAGCTACACACTGAAGGAAAATGCCCAACCATTTAAAAAAATGTATGGATTCTGAGAAAGATATTAGTGTCACCATAGATGATAAACTAATATTCGATAAACATATCTGTGAAAAGGTTAACAAAGCAAATTTGATCATGAGCACATGAACCCACACAGTTTCAAACTGTTATACACAGCTTTAGTCAAACCTCATATTGAAAATGCTGTTCAAGTCTGGTACCCTCATTTAGAAAAATATGTAGCATCAGTCGAGAATGTTCAACGTCGAGCAACAAAACAAGTACCAGGTCATTCTAATCTGTCTGATACGGAACGTTTGCAAAAACTCTCACTACCAGCGTTAGCATATAGGCGATCACGTGGTGACGTGATAGAGGTATATAAAACAATTTCCTGGAAATATGACAGGCTTGTTTTCGTTCAACGAAAGGTCAAGCACACATGGACCTAACTTTAAGATATATAAAGGGTTTTCAAGGTTGGATGTGAGGAAATATTCCTCCACGCAGAGAATCGTAGATATGTGGAATAGCCTTCCATTTGATGTTGTAAATGCGATTTCAGTTAAACAATTTGAGTACAAACTTGATAAACATTGGAAAAATCAGCCACAAAAGTATTGTTTCAAAGAAAAAATCAAGCTGTGACCTTTAAAATTATAATTTAGTATACTGCGAGCTGACTATTGTTAATCCTGTACATATTTCATGTATATTGTCACAATAAATCTGTGTATTGTTGATTTACATTATGTGTTTTGATTGGCTGTTTACAGTCCATTTTGCTGTGGTGTGAATTGTTCTGTCATCAGCTAGCTAGCGTTGAATGATTTGATTGGCTGTTAAATGATCACATGACCATTGTTAATTTACATAACATGATTTGATTGGCTGTTTACAGACCACATGACCGTTCAACAGAGGATTTAGAGATTATCTATGAAGAGTTACTACATATAAAGGCCTTATCCCACCTGTCCACCATGGTCAAGAGAGAGCTCGCCAGCGTTCTTATCTTTGAATCCCATGCAAAGTCAGGCACAGCTTGTAAGTATATAATAGCCACATGTAACGAAGAAAATTCTCTAACATGACAAAAACAGGTAAAGTTAGGTTTTTCATTGCAGTAACAGATCGTTTAAGGAAGAAATAAAGGAAATCCCCAAACCAAGGCCTTTAAATAGAATCAATGTTGTCAAAACAAATGATAAAATCCTCAGGACTTTTATGTACTCTTGATTGGAATGCACCTTTTTAAAAATCTTTTCAACATTGTATAAGACATTTACTGGTATTTCATCATCTGTGAGAGTTACAATAATGACTAGGACTCCCTTTAGCCTGCCTTGTTCTCATTTCAAAACCCCAAGATTATTGGTCCAGCCAGGATTTTATTGGTAGATTAAGAATAGTTCAAGCTTCCTTTTCTTTTTTAAGCAATTTGAAATTTGTCAATTTGGTTTTATGGGGTGTATTTTACAAAGATCAGGCATGAATCCTGATCATCTTGATAGCCTCAATCGGTGGTTGACATCCGTGTTATTGTTGGCCTGACATTGCTTGTCTTTAAGCCTTGAGCAAGCGGTACTGTTAGTGTCAGGTTTTCTGACATGGTTAACCATGCAGGGCCAACAGAACTGGTACCTCAAACACATAGGTACAGCTGTCAACACCACACATGGTTTATCCTGAGAGGTTTTTTCTCTGGTGTGTATGTATTTCAAGACATTAATAAAACACTATCCTCTAATGTATGTAGCACATACATGATCTCTATAATTAATGCCCTAGCTAGCGCTGAACACATTAGAAGAAAGTGGATCACCCTATCTGTCTGTCCATCTGTCTGTCTGTCTTTGCGCCTGTCTGTTTCATTTGCATTAATTTCTGAGCTGTTATATTTATTTACCTTGGGTAGCTTTCGGCTGTAACAGGACAAAACTTCAGACCAGCTAAATTTACAAGTCAAACATTCCTATTTAGTTAAATTAAAAGGTTTTAAGTTCAAGGTCAATGACAAGATCACTGAATTTAAACTACTGTTATGTTGGATAGAATTTCAGCTACTTTCACTGAATTTCATAGATACTATTTTAAAAGTGTAAAATGCATTCTTGAACATCATGTATACTGTGCCCTGCCCTTCGGGGATTTTGCTTGCCTGAAAATACAAACATCACAATCGAAGCGTGTATTTTTAATGATGATGAACACAGACAGTGACCTGAGAGGTTTCACATTAATTTTACATACCCTAAAAATTAACATTGGTGTCCTAACCAAAATTATATATTCTTCTTGAGTAAGCACTTGTACTTTAAATCTGTTTTCCTAGCTACATTGGGTGTGGTCTTAAATATAACAAGTAAAGGAAAACTTTGAGATTTTACAATTTTCATCTAATGAACTTCTCAACTTTTAAAATTTCCCAGCATTTTCTATGTCAATTATTAAGCATTTAGGATTGACAATTTTGTTATCCATGAACCATACATCAAAATTATGTTTGGTTTCCTTTTACCAAAATTGGAATTATTTTCTGCATGAAAACACAGTGCTGTAGTTTTCAAATTTCTATAAAACACATTATTACTTTGAAATAAATGGCTTAAAATGGCAAGAATTAAAACCACTGGGGATAGACATGTACCTTGATTGTAACACCCTGTTAATGATGCTAGCAACAGCAGGTTCTAGGTAGAAAAGGCCTGCTATATATCCCACTGCTCTGTATTGTAAAGTGCCATTCTTATGGGGTTACCTCTGAAATCGGGAATTACTTCTGTCTTCTTCCTAGGGAATATTGCAGTAGCTGAAACTGATCTGCCAACCACATTTCAACACTACAAGATCATCTATCTTTTCTGAATTCTTCTACTTTTGTCCCTTTTCAGTGGTGTCTCTCCGGCACCTATTGTCATTTGACCTCAGATTTTGGGAGGACTAGTACTTTGAACCTCTGAAGTGAAACAGAACTGTTGATGGCCCCGAGTCTTTGTGTGGCAGCTGTATATCTATAGCAGTGCAATCCAATATTTATATGTAAAAGTTGAAGTTCTGACTTTGCCGTAATTAACTAGTGTAAGGTAGGCTTATATACAACGTGTAATTAGACATTGCAGTGTTAGAAACGGCCTTGCTCTCTGGGGATGTACACTAACATATGATACGAGGCAATTAGTGGACAAAAAACTAGTTCAGTGTTGATCCTGTGAACAACACAAACCATTATTACCATTGGAAACTTTCAATTAACACCGACCGCTTTAGCATGGAATTATTTGATAAGTTATCATAAAGCAGACCAAAGTGTGGTGAGGAAATTGATCAAATATGCATGGGAAGCCAATCATTTTAATTTGAAGTTGATCCCTAGCCGATCGTAGAGCATATCTCAGGAGCTGCTGGATGTATAGTTAAGTGAACTGCCTTTGGTGATTGTGGATACAGAGGCTGTGGAGATGTACTGTATACAGTGCTGATTTAGCGACATGTTTTGCTCCAGATTTTGTACTGTTGTCTGGGAGAACTTGACAGTATCATACATCAATAGTAGTAAGTGTCCCACCCAGGCCACTACACTGTATATCCCTGTACTGGGTGAGGTAGCTATATATAGGCAGCTGTATGGAAGTCAAAGGAAGGTTAGCATGTCAAGTAATGAAATGGTTTGTCCAATATTGTCCCAGGGAAGCACCACCGGATGTATGGTAGATATCAAGGGTAGATATAACTGACCATTATAGTATTCGGTCCCTATAGGTCCAGCACTGACCTCTGGCCATAATATAACACACAGAGGAAACCCATAAATGTCAGAGGTAGTGGCTGCCCTCTGGCTATTGTCCTGATCATTGATTGTGATTGGAGCAGCAATTTCAATATTAGTACCGGTCCCAAAGAGCTCAGAACAATGACTGCTGGTCTGGTTCCTAGCTGAAATTCATGGGATACATACTGTATAATTTGGATAAAAGCATTATATAACCTGGTTTAAGCTTCCAAGGAATTCTGCTTTTTCATAGACGATAAATTATAATCAACAATCGTTCATGTAGACAAAATTGTATTAAAAATTTGTTGGGTTACTTCTTCTGTAAAAAACGCCCATGCCTGATTTTTAGCCCACCATCATCTGATGTTTGGCTATTCAAATCACCCTTCCTTTGTGATTCGTTGTCTGTCGTCTGTCCTTAAACAATTCTTGTTATCACTGAATTTCTCAGAAAGTACAGGAGGGATCTTTTTCAAATTTGGTATGAAGGTTCCCCTTGGTCTGTAGTTGTGCATGTTTACTTCGGAGAGTGATCATAAAAACAAGTTGGCCACAAGAAGTCCTTAAATGAGATCGTTCTGATATTGTAATGATTGGATCTATATCTCTTACATTTAAAGAACTGTACTAGTAAATATGTGAAATGGTGCATTTACTGTTTACATGACTTGATCAAACAGATAAGAGAAAAGAAGAGAAAAGATCAAACTGACATAAACAATAAGGGAATGGCCGATGAGCTTATGGTATGGTGTATATTATTAGCTCTACTGGCCCGAAAGGCCAAGTGAGCTTATGCCATGGTGCAGCATCCGGCGTCCGTCCGTCCGTCGTCTGTCGTCCGTCGTCCGTTGTCCGGCGTCCGGCGTCAATATTTTACTTTAAACAACTTCTTCTTAATAACCCAAAGGTCTAGGGTGATGATATTTGGCCAGACACAAACTAGGATGAAGGGCTACCAAGTTTGTTCAAATAAATGACCTTCACCTATTTTCAAGGTCACAGGGGTCAAATATGTTAAAAACTTTAAACAACTTCTTCTGAATAACCAAAATGCCCAGAGTGATGATTTTTGGCTAGTAACATGCTGGGATGAAGGACTCCCAAGTTTGTTCAAATGAATGAACTTCGTCCATTTTCAAGGTCACAGGGGTCAATTGTCTTAAAAAATCTTTATACAACTTCTTCTGAATAACTAAGAGGCCTATTAAAGGCTAATGATATTTGGCCAGTAACATGCTAGAATGAAGGGCTACCAAGTTTGTTCAAATGAATGACCTTTACCTATATTCAAGGTCACAGGGCTCAAATATGTGAAAAACTCCAAACAACAATATCCTAAGAACTGTTTGGACTATAATCATGATACTTGGGTATGTTATGAAGCTAAGACCAGCAGTGTGAATCTTTTTCTTCATTACAGTAATGAGGTCAAAGGTCAACTTTAACTGCTAGTCGGGGGTCAAATGTCAGCATGGGTTAAAAGCTTTAACAATCTTCTTCTCCAGGGATAGAGTGCTATAAGTTTCCTCTTTAAAATTCCCTTGACCTACTTTCAAGGCCACAGGAGTCAAAAATGTAAAAAAAAATCAAACGACCATATCCTAAGAAGCATTTGGTCTAGAGCCATGCTACTTGGGTATGTTATGTAGACCAGCAGTGTGAATATTTTTTGAAATTACAGTTACAAGGTCAAATGTCAACGTGGGTTAAAAGCTTTAAAATAACAATTTCAAATTTCAAACAACAATATCTTGAGCAGCGTTTAAGAGATGTTAAAATGTGTTCTACTTACCGAATTTGGCCTGAAGTTACCTATATGTCAGTTTCATGTAACAAAGGAAACAGGTGAGCGATACAGGCCCTCTGGGCATATTGTTAATTAAATCCTTTGTTATAATATAGATATCTTTGATTTTATGTAATCAGAAAGTTTCTACAATCTAACAATGAGAACCTGTATATTTTCACAATATTTATCTTTATTTTTTTTCCAGTGTTCAACCAAGGAGATGAAGGAAAGTCCTGGTACATTATACTGAAGGGGTCCGTGAATGTTGTTATATATGGCAGGGTAAGTCCTAGTACATAATACTGAAGGGGTCTGTGAATGTTGTTATATATGGCAGGGTAAGTCCTAGTACATAATACTGAAGGGGTCTGTGAATGTTGTTATTTATGGCAGGGGAAGTCCTGGGACATAATACTGAAGGGGTCTGTGAATTTTGTTATATATGGCAGGGGAAGTCCTGGTACATTATACTGAAGGGGTCCGTGAATGTTGTTATATATGGCAGGGTAAGTGCTGGTACATAAAACTGAAGGGGTCTGTGAATAAACTGAAGGGGCCTGTGAATGTTGTTATATATGGCAGGGTAAGTCCTAGTACATGATACTGAAGGGGTCTGTGAATTTTGTTATATATGGCAGGGTAAGTCCTTGTACATAAAACTGAAGGGGGCTGTGAATAAAATGAAGGCGTCTGTGAATGTTGTTATATATGGCAGGGGAGGTCCTGGTACATAATACTGAAGGGGTCTGGGAATGTTGTTATATATGGCAGGGGAAGTCCTTGTACATAAAACTGAAGGGGGCTGTGAATGTTGTTATTTATGGCAGGGGAAGTCCTGGTACATAAAACTGAAGGGGTCTGTGAATAAACTGAAGGAGTCTGTGAATGTTGTTATATATGGCAGGGTATTAGTTACTATTTTGTCATATTCTTACATTTCCATTGCAAGGCTGAATGAAGCTACAAAGAATGATAAAATGATGTTGTCTTTGTTATTTTGACTGAATATGAGAATTGAAATGCAATTTTTATAATTTATAATATTATACAACATATATATATAGTTCTCAAACATATTTCATGATGTACCAGAATTGTGTTGCATATCATCTTAAATGTTAGAAATATGCAATTCAATCCTTAAATAAGTTAATACAGTAGGTGCCTGTAACTGTTGTAATAGCTCCTCTATATACTCCTTATACGTACCAAGGCAAACATAACACAACACCTAAATAGCAAATAGCTGCTCGACCGAAACACGGAAAAATAATATAATTGGTGGGGTTTCATATATAATGGTGGCTTCGGCTAGTTAATAATATAACGCTCCAACCATCCACACCCGTACCTGGGGGGTCAAACCCTGAACTAATAATAGCATGGGATTTTAGAGAAGTGTTTTCATCCTACCCACACAATTAAATAGCCCAGATAGAGTATGGGGTGGATGCTGTAGTGTACGTCTGTGCTGAAACTTTCAAGTTGCATGGCGCTATATAACAATAATGCTGTTGGAAGCAAGACTTCACTGGAAAATGTGAACACTTAAGCTGCCTCCAGCACACCATAGCTCACATGGAGGTATTAAGCCAGGCAGAACAGGCCCAGTAGTTAGCAGCTCCTGTAAAATCCCCAAATTGTAGTGATTGCATGAATTTATTTCAGGTATGGTGTAGCAACGTATGTATTTATTATAAAGTGTCATAAATTGGCCTACACTTGCTAGACAGTGCTAATATCAAATTTTGTATAATAGTAATGATACAGTTTAAGGGCTATGAGGTAATTTGTTGGCAGATAGGTTAAAGAATTTACTTTATTTGAATACTTTTTAGCTCACCTGCCCGAAGGGCAAGTGGTCTTATGTCATGGTGCAACGTCTGTAGTCAATCCAGCATCCCTTCGTCGTCCCTTCGTCGTCCGTCAACTTTTCCTTTAAACAACTTCTAAAGAACGAACAGGCCTAGAGTCATGATATTTGGCTGAACGCTTTGTTGGTAGGAGCCTGACAAAGTTTGAGAATGAAAATAACATTGACCTACTTTCAGGGTCACAGGGGTCAAATATGTCAAACAACTTCTTAAGAAGAACCAAAAAGCATAGAATCATATAATAATATTTGGCTGGTAGTTTCAACAGATGGAGCCGACAAAGTTTGCAAGTGAAATATTTGTAGTACAGGATAATATTTAATGAGAAAATTTTGCGATGACTGCTTAAATATGCAGGTGAGCGATACAGGCCCTGTGGGCCTTTTGTTTCAAATCAATGTGAATGTATTTTTCAGGGTGTTGTCTGCACGCTACACGAGGGAGACGACTTTGGGAAACTTGCCTTACTGAATGATTCACCAAGGTAGACAACAAATGGAGACCTATTGTAAAATGTTCACAGGATACTACTGTATTTGACCACAAATATTAGTCTCTACCCCTAGTGAAAAAATATTGACCAAACGTAGAGAGGGGGCTTAATTGCGAGTGTCCCCTGTTCACAAATGTACGCCATCTTGGATATACTGCTGTTTTGATGAATGACCGAAATACATATCATGTACTTATAATTGTTCATTTTGTGAAAATAATTTTAACCATCAGGCAGAAGATATTTAACTAGAAAATGACTATATGATGACCAATGGCCCATGCTAATATAAGAACCACACTTGACAAAATGAACTCTTAGCTGATACACACTGATAATTCAGTTATAAAAAGAGTGCCAGTTGCCGATCTAAAAATAGGAAATTTGAAAATGAAAAGTTATAATCAGGGTCAATTTGAATTTTCTTTTGCAATCTGGATAATGGGAGTGAAAAAGATTTTGCTCACAAATTATGATGTCACATGATTGACTTTGACCTTGTTTTGTAGAGCGGCCACCATCGTGCTTCGGGACGACAACTGTCACTTTCTGCGTGTCGATAAAGATGACTTTAATAGAATTCTAAGGGTAAGAAAATTAGACTAAACAGACCAAACAAAATTTTAGGCAAAACAACTGCAAAATGTATAGACTGCCCAACCAACAACAGAATATTGCATCATACAGAGATTTTCAGATGTCTAGAAAACTAAGGGAGATAACCATATCTACCAATTGATTAATGTAGGCTTGCCAAGAATGGTGGAAAAGTACCGGTAGCACAAAATGCAATGCATCCTTATAATTACATGAAGAATAAATCATTAATTCTATTATCAAAACTAGATGTATGTTGTATGCTATATGTGTTCTATAATTGTTAGGATGTAGAGGCGAACACGGTACGGCTAAAGGAACACGGAAAGGATGTGTTGGTACTGGAGAAGATCCCCATGAACAACCAAGGACCTGATGGTACCACACAGACCCATTATAGGTAGTACCTGTTTCTGTACCATTTCAATAATAAGTCTGGTAACAATCTGTCGGTCCAGTGTGATATTCTGGTATATCTAGTAAGATGGACTGTAGTTCTACACACACAGTCTCTAAGGTAAGATGGACTGTAGTTCTACACACACAAAATTTAGTCTCTAAGGTAAGATGGACTATAGTTCTACACATTGGCTGGTAGTTTCAACAGATGGAGCCGACAAAGACACACAAAATTTAGTCTCTAAGGTAAGATGGACCGTAGTTCTACACACACAGTCTCTAAGGTAAAATGGACCGTAGTTCTACACACACAAAGTCTCTAAGGTAAGATGGACCGTAGTTCTCCACACACACAGTCTCTAAGGTAACATGGACCGTAGTTCTACACACACAAAATTTAATCTCTAAGGTAAGATGGACCGTAGTTCTACACACACAAAATTTAGTCTCTAAGGTAACATGGACCGTAGTTCTACACACACAAAGTCTCTAAGGTAACATGGACCGTAGTTCTACACACACAAAATTTAGTCTCTAAGGTAAGATGGACTGTAGTTCTCCACACACAAAATTTAGTCTCTAAGGTAACATGGACCGTAGTTCTACCCACACAAATGCTCTAAGGTAACATGGACCGTAGTTCTACCCACACAAAGTCTCTAAGGTGTAAGATGAAGTTTAGATGAAATAAAATGTTGCAGTTATCGGTGATTGTCATAAGATATATACGGAACTTTTGTACAAATTTCAGATGATGTATTCTGTCATATTTTACAGACTATGATTTGATACAGGGGGGGAAAAGCTCAGAAACAAACTGCAGTCATTAGTTAGTTTCTTTACAAGTTAAAGCAACAATATTATGAGAGTAATTGTGATTGAGATACTCAGTGATGACAGCTGTATTTGAATGAGGTTATGCAAGGTACAGTCAAACTTCCATTAATCAAACTTCGACGATTTAAAGTGCTCAATGTTTCGAACTTACGGTGAAGTCCAGATTTTTTTTATAACACTACTTATATTCTTTTCACGAACCAAACTTTTATAAGTCAAATTTCTTGCTGTTTCAAAGTATAATCAAGGCCCATTCCTTATGAAAACATTGAAAATTACAACTAATAAATTGAGGTTAAATATTCACCTGCACTAGAACATTAAAATGTCCTGTGCTTATTTTAACAATACAGGCTTCATCAATTTAATTGACAAAAAAAATGTCGAATTTGATAAGAAATCCAATATGTAAAACTAAATGTATGTGTTTCATCACATATTTAAAGAATCACATTCTGTCTTATTTACAGAATCTCAATGTTTAATTTTGGTGAGCCCCATTAGTCCCGATGTTTCAAATAACTCCAGATAGTATACTGTACCACAAAGTTCGAAACATCAAAGTTTGACTGTATATATGTTTTGCAGGTACTCTGTGATGGCGGGAACGCCAGAGAAGATGTTGGAACACTTACTGGAGAGCAGTCTGGAGAGTAAGATTGAGGAGGCTACAGGTAAAACATTATACCCTACCTTGTCGGGCCTAGGCTAGGTGGCTGTTTATATTGAGGAGGCTACAGGTAAAACACTTACCCTCCCTTGTCAGGCCTAGGCTAGGTGGCTGTTTATATTGATGAGGCTACAGGTAAAACACTTACCCTCCCTTGTCAGGCCTAGGCTAGGTGGCTGTTTATATTGAGGAGGCTACATGTAACACATTATACACTTCCTTGACAGGCCTAGGCTAGGTGGCTGTTTATATTGAGGAGGCTATAGGTAACACATTATACCCT